CTCAGAACGGGTCGAAATCATTGCAAACGTGTGGTGTGGCGCTGAAGCTCACACGAGATGATATTGTCACTTTTCGTGGCAGACGCAGTACTTGGTGTGGCTTTTGAGGTGTGGAAGTGCGAGTCTTGTGGCAGGTGCAGGGAATCGTGAGGTTGCGAGGTGTGACGGAGGTGACATTTCGTTGCAGGCGCAGGGAATCGTGAGGTTGCGAGGTGTGACGGAGGTGACATTTCGTGACAGGCCATTGTTTCTTTCGCGCCGCGGATCTGCCAGAACCTTTACGCCAGTGCTTGAATTGAACGCAAAACAAAAACCCTTCATGATGAAGACGGAGCTTGGTGGTGAAGTCCCCAGCGCATGCTGCCTTGGTGGTGGAGTCCCCAGCGCATGATGTCCAACAGCGTGCCAGAGAGTGAAAAAGAGATTCTGACCGGCTGTGTCTCTTTTTATACGCAGTGGTTTGACGTATGTGTTTGCATTCGGGTTCGTGAGCTCCATCTTGTCTTTTTTGAAGCAGCAACTGCACGGCTTCCAATGCGGAGTGCTCATAAGCGACAACGAGCCAAGCGCACAAAACCCCCGCGCTCCGATTGATGCCACCAAAGCAGTGAAAGAGCACGCGCATGGATTTGTCCCCGGCGACCGCCAGCATGCCCTGTTCCCACAACTGGTTGCAAACAGGAAGCCACCAAGTCCGGAATCTGCTCAAGCCAAGGCCTTGCCGGCTTCAATGTCGTGTCCTCCAAGTGACACTGGATGTGAAAGACATCTTGTTGTTGAAAGTATTTCGTCCAGTCGGTCGGCGCGCCTGCGATCTTCATCTCCTGCGCGCACATGGTGACCACCACAGTGACCTTCAAAGAGGTGGTCTCCACAATGTCTTCCAAGCTACACGCAGCTTTCAAACTTCCAAGCAACAGCGCTGCTCGATCCGTAGGCCTGTAAGTGACAGCAGCGTCCAAAGGCCATCCTTGTATGGACTTAAAGCTGTAGTCGTGTTGGTCTGTGACATAATCCAAAGCAGTCCACCGGTTCTTATCAGCATAAGCGTCTCTGATATCCTGCTCTCGCTGTGTTCTCCACTCGAGAGCGTCAGTAGCCAGAGCCATGACCACCAAAGGCGAACGTCTGATCCTTGTGAAAGACCCCTAGCGCCTCCTACTACTTCACGGATCAGAGTTACAAGTCTGTACGTGACCAATTGTTGAAAGCAACAATGGCAGTGAAGTTCGCGGAGTCGCGGCTACCCAATTCTTGAGCTTCGGGGAGGCATGGTATGAAATCCGTCCATTCTCATGGTGCTCGAGGACATCAAGCAAACAAGTTAAAGCAGGATGTACGAAACTCTGAGGCACGAATACTTGTACCTATCCAAAACAAGGTGGCAAGATCTCGTTCACACAGTTTGTCCAGCCACACCAAACGTGAACTGAGCATCCAACCACTCCCTGCGATGCAATATATGGAATCACCTCAAGAGACGAAATCGAAGTCAGTGGGAAACACGAGTATATAGGATACTCGCATCCTCGTTGTGATGACATTAACTCCTTATGCAAAAAGTAATAAGCAATGCAACCAGGTGCTCTGTTTTTTGCGTTCATACTACGCCGACAGTCCCTATCGCAGCGAACAGGACGAGCAGCAACTTCATGCGGTCGCTCGGGTATTAAGCTCTAGGATTCAAAGACAAAATCATGCCGAGGGGATGCACGAACAGTCTCTACAACATCACCCAAAGCAGTGATTCTCAAGATCTACGACTCAACTACAAAATCATGCTGAGGGGATGCGCGAACAGACTCTACAACATCCCAAACAGCAGTGATTCTGACGGCGCGGGGACGCGCGCAGTGATTCGCAAAAACACGACGAGCCACCGCTTGGCGCTTTTCAGCTTGTTGGGTGTCGCGTCGATCAAGTGGATGGCATGCCTCTTCTTCGAAGAGATCATCTGCACCGCTGCGACGCCACTGCGCTCCTCCCTAACGGCCGCAGTTTCTTCTTCTGTATGCAACTTGAAAAGCTTTTCCGCCACCAGAACCATGTCCGTGCCATCGTCCTCGGCAGTCACTTTGCCGATGACCAGATGCACCTTACCGTCAGACATGTTGAAGTGATTGGCTTGGGCGAGCTGACAAAAGGCCTCCATCCGAAAATGTTTCGGAGACTGCGCCTCCAGTGCCAGTACTTTCTCATATACTGCAGCATAATGACCTTGTCATCCCCCGCGCCCGTCTCGACAAGCTTGGGTTCTTCATCTTCAGCCCGCGCCAGCGCGGTGATGTAATTGGGAAACACGGGCAAGGCTCGCAGCTTGGTGCCGAAGCTAGAGAATAACAGGTCCTCATGCGGACAAGCGATGGGAAATACCATGCCGGTGGCCCGCTGGTTCTCCAGTCGCACGATTTGCTTGATCATGGGGTGACTGGTCTCCGTATATCTGCGACACAGTGCCCGTTGACATGCCAGCACTTGAAACTGACACTCCGGTAAATTCTCATTGGCAGACTCGGCCTCTTGTGATTGAAGCACCCCCTGCGTAGCAACGTTGGCGCCCCCAGGTTTGCGGTGCCCAGACGCACATCTGCTGGGTAGCGAAAGCAGACAGCCTGCGGACCTCGCCGCATCAAGAGGGTCAGTAGCTCTGTTGGCACCAAGGCTTCCATCAACGCAGAGTGGAGTTGTGGCACCGGTAGCCATCTGTCGCCTATCCTCGCTCTGATGCCACCGGCAACAGCCAAGCTGCGTAGCTCATCCCGCCCCAACTCTTGCAAACTTCCACGCAGCCATTCCGCTCCCTGGTTCACGGCATTGTTGCGGAACTCCTCCCATCGAGCTTCCGCCGCAGACCTCGAAGACGAGCTCGCCTGCGCCGGCGCATTCGCTAACAAAAGAGAAACGAGGCCCCGCGAGCAAGAACAGCAACTTCCAACATTACGCCGCTGTGAACAAGCAGAACATATACCATGCCACCTTGGAAGCGCATACCTATATCTATACCCAAAACGCTACGCCTGGGCCTGCTCTGTTGGCGCCAAGGCTTCCATCAATGCAGAGCGCAGTTGCGCAACCGGCAGCCATCTGTCGCCTATCCTCGCTCTGAGGCCTCCGGCAACGGCTACACTGCGCAGCTCTACCGCTCCCAACTCTTGTAAACGTCCACGAAGCCATTCCGCTCCCTGGTTCACGGCATTGTTGCGGAACTCTTCCGATCGCAGACCCTGTGACGCGCGCGGTAACTGGTCCATTATCGCGGACAGTCCCTTCAAATAATAGAACAGTCACCGCGCTCCTAGAGGTACGCGCGTCCCGGGTATGTGACTCGAACCAAAAGCTTGTGCCGCAAGCATGTTCTGCGCGCAACCTGTACCGATTCAAACTTGCAATGCCTTCACTAGCTCCATGCAAACATCCAAGGTCCAGACACTCCAACCACGGAGCTCATCCTCCATCCATCCTCCACGGACACCTTAAGGCATTGTTTCCGCAATCACTGTTCAATGTCGTGAAAAACAGATATTCAATATTCTCCATGGACATGTCTTGCCTTGCAGCACTGACTCCAAATAAGGCTCCAACCGCAACGGTGACGTCATCGCTCGACGCAGCTCCAGGCTCAAACTCTTCAGTTCGTCCGAGAGCAAGACATGTGATTGTCCAGCGGGCGGATGTGAAGGAGTGACAGTGTGGATGTGCAGGTGCGATATAGATGTGCAGATGTGTGGAGGTGGAGAGGTAGATCTGCAGATGTGAGCGTGCGAAGATGTACATGTACAGAGGTGAGAGAAAAGATATGTAGAAAGAAAGAAAGAGCGGGTGGATGCGAAGGAGTGACCGTGTGGATGCGCAGGTGTGATATAGATGTGGAGATGCATGGGCGATATGAATGTGACGAAGAAAGGGCAATGACCCTGGATTTGGTGAATGGGTTCCACCGCATTCCAATGCACAAAGATTCGGTTCTTGCAGGCCAACGTCTTTACCGAATTTTGTGCTGTGAACCTCGCGCAGCCCGGTCGCAGCAACCTTCACGCACGATCTCCGCAGAGGGTTGCCCGCGATAATACCAAATCGCACTCTCGCCTGCATTTCGCGCCCTCGACACGCACGATCTCCGCAGAGGATTGCCCGCGATAAAACCAAATCGCACTCTCGCCTGCATTTCACGCCCTCGACACGCACGATCTCCGCAGAGGGTTGCGCCGGACAAAGCCAAATCGCACTCTCGCCTGCGTTTCGCGCGTCCGACACGCACGATCTCTGCAGGGGGTTGCCCGCGACAAAACCGCGTCGCACTCAGACTGTCGCCTGCATTTCGCGTCTCCGGCACGCGCGATCTCCGCAGAGGGTTGCCCGCGATTAAAACCAAATCGCGCTCTCGCCTGCGTTTCGCGTCCTCGACACGCGCGATCTCCGCAGAGGGTTGCCGGACAAAACGAAACCGCACTCTCGCCTGCATTTCGCGCACTCGACACGCGCGATCTCCGCAGAGGGTTGCGCCGGACAAAACCAAAACGCAGTCTCGCTTGCATTTCGCGTCCTCGACACGCACGATCTCCGCAGAGGGTTGCGCCGGACAAAACCAAATCGCAGTCTCGCCTGCATTTCGCGTCCTCGACACGCACGATCCCCGCAGAGGGTTGCGCCGGACCGGGACAAATCGCAGTCTCGCCTGCATTTCGCGTCCTCAACACGCACGATCTCCGCAGAGGGTTGCGGCGGACCGGGACAAATCGCACTCTCGCCTGCACTTCGCGCGCTCGAAGCGCAACATATCTTTTGAGGCTTCAACTTCAACATATGTTTTGCAGGTTTCAGTGCGCTGGAGCAAGAGGCGGTACTGTACACACACACATATATATATACACATTTTGAAAAGGATGTTGGAAATTGGAATCACATTCCAACCTCAGGATGTTTATTTTAATAGTTAATAATTATACACTTTGTGAACTTGCTAATTGTTTAGAATGAGAATCCAAGCAGTTGGGAGCAAGGCCGGACCTTCAGCACAGCGTCAACATGCGGCTTTGGGCGTGAGGATCTTGGGGTGATGAGGACGATGGCAGGCATGTATTGCATCTAGCTGGTAATGGAATACTTTGTGGACAATGGGCACTTTCCCAGAAGTTAGTTTAGTTGAATAGTCTCAGGTTTGGCGTGGTGCCAGTGCCGATAAAGGCGGAGGATGAAATACCATCCAAGGAGCGCTGCTTTCAAATTTGGCCGACAAATTAATCAATGTTGGAGGTGTTCTTCAAGGAAACCTGAGCTCTTTTGCGTCCCTGCTACTAGTAGCAAACTCTTGCTACTTCTACCGTTGTACCTGCTACTTACTTCCCTCAATGCGACCTACATCTCCCGCTAACAAACAAACTATGCACATTTTAGGTCGGCAAAGCCAAAGCGGACCAAGCTCAGGACCCTCAAAAGTCAGAATGAGGGCCGAGAGGGCCTCTCGAGGGCCGAGGAGATAGGCACATCCGCGGGACGCTCCGGCCGTAGAACTCCACAAGAGGGCTACCCAGATTGCAGCTTCGTAAAGCGATGGTATGTGTTTTTGCCCTTAAAGTTTGCATTGATTTTCGTGAGGATTAACTCGGGGGCAAACTTTTTGACCCTAAGTAGGGACTTCATATTTTGAGAGGGCAGAACAGGAGATCCGTCTCGTTCTCTTCGCCAGGAGCATCCTCAAAAGCACCAGAGCAGACTCCCACCAAGTGGAGAGTACCTGCATTTCGAGGGTCGATGCAGCGATTGCCAGTAGTCCAAAGTCGTTTTGCCTGATCGGATTAGTGAGTTGCAACATGTTGCAACAGCAATCTTGAACAGGCAATTCTGCTGACGGCTTCATCGACGCTCCAGCACTCCCCAGATGCGGAACCCACCTGATAGACATGACAAAGCATGTTGCACAGCAATTAGAGGGGGCGACAAGGATTTTCTACGAACTGTAGACACATAGGAGCAAGGACGCTACTAGGGGCTCCTGGCCTTACTACTAGGAGCAAGAAGCTACTAGGGGCTCCTGGCATCGCTACTAGGAGCAAGGACGCTACTATCAGCCATTGGTGGCGCAAAACTGATACTGAGAGGATCCCTTGAATTGCATCCGGAACACTGTCACTGTCTAGTTCCTACAGTTTTCGAGTTGAAAGATGCTTGTGTCTTGCAAATGGAGGACCGCATTGGGATGAGGTTCCATAAGGTGGAAGCTCTTACGAGGGAGACACCCCCATGGCTTTCTGCTTTATTTCCAAGCTTTGCATTAAGAACTTGTGTGTATGTGTTGATCCCGTTTTTTGTCCCAGAGAAAGGCTTCTGACCTTTTAGAGACCTTTGAGATTGCAGCATTTTCACGTGGAGCCACACGTTGCTGCAGAGCGGTTTCACCAACAGCAGCATATTGGCCACCTAGAATGCTCTTGGGAAGCTGCGTGTACGCACAGCCTCTTGCATGCAATGTCAAGAATTCTGGATAAATCGCACCATGAGCACAAGGACAGCGAGTTTCATCCAAGACAATGTACTGGGCAAACCTCAGCCGTCATACACCTGCAACGTGCATTTTCTTGCTTCCTCCATATGAGCCAAAGGGCTCTGTGTCGTGTGCAGGCCATGCACAGAAGGAGGAAGGAGGTCTTGTTGAAAGAACGCAGGCTTCTCTAGAACACTGAAGTGTCCAATCATTGCCCAAAAAACAAGCTCAGCATTTACAAAAAGGAGGGCCGGTGGGAATTTGAGACCTGCAGAGAAATCAACGGACTCAGATACTTTTGGGCTTGCTGAAGCTTCAGGTTTTGCATGAGACATGATCTTTGCTTTAGCTGCTATATTCTGAGATGCTTCCCAGTCCAAAGAGTTTTGCCAATGCTTCAACCCCCTAGCCTATGCAGTTCAGTCCTTGCCTTGTTCTTTGGCGGAGAAGCAAATTTGGTGCTTAGTAAATTGGCGACAAGCTGATTTGTACGATGAGACATTGCCAAAGCTTCTTAGTCGATGTGCAAGAACTTGAAGTGAGGGTCACGCTGCTTCTATGCCATTCACCCACACTATTAGTCACTATCTCAACATTCTCCAGTCCTGCAGGCACCTACCGAGTGGGCTCGCACTCGCAGTGAGGACAAGCCAAAGAAACAAGTTGCAAGGCATCCTATGCTGGTTTGGATGATCTCGCAACTTCCTTTACCATGACACTAGCAGGTGTTTGAGATGCCAACTAGTGAACTAGTTTATGCAAAGCATTTATTGCTTTGGCCGAAGTGCATCCAGACCAGAAAAATGCAGCACAAGTAAGAAACATGGTGCTGCCGTTGAATCTGTCAAAAGGCAGCGGCCTGGATTCTGGACGAACATCCACTTGCCCGAGAAGAATCACCATGCCATGCCCTTTTCTGCTGTGACTCACTGCCCAAGTCTTGAGATTTCAAGACGCCAGCATGCAGCATTGATGTGCTCTGGGCTCTGTAGCTTGTTGGGCCTTTCTTCTCCATTTGATGAACAACACCTGCTTGGCATTATTTTGTCATCCACCTTTTTGTACCAAGCATACAAACGGCTGGTCAGAAGCCCTTGCTATCATTGTTCACTTCTAAGTGCTCTAGAGTTCTGTGTGACGGGAATTCTAAGATGAAACGAAGCTTCAACCGAAAGGTGGAAATTCCTTGGTTTCATCCAATGCCATTTAAAAGAAAAGATCTGCCAACCAAGAAGCCAAGTCATTGACCATAGGCTGGATATTCTGCAAGTCCCGTAGATGGGATCCGAACATGTGCAACTCCGACGTGTTGACCGTCTCATTCTTTTCTCAAGAGCAAACTGCCACGAACCCTTTTTGGCCCGACTGCTCTAGCCCCTTGCCTGAGTTCTTGAACAGATTTTCAGCATTTGTCTTCCTGCTGTCAACAGTTTTTGCTTTATGTAGATGTAGGAGTTTCATGCGAAGAAGTTTGAAGACCCTGCAGCAACTTACTAAGCCTACACTGCACAGGCCATGCACACATATTGACAGGGTGATTCTTGATTTCGTTTGAAGCCATCGTGGAACATACACAAGTGGTCCGTGTGTTTTTTTGTGCTGGGAGCCGCAGAAGCTGGGACACCCTTGTTTGGGGCCCATGGGGGGATCTCTTTGTCGCGGAAGCCTGAGGGAAGCATCATCATGCCTGCAGTGGAGGAGGAGTCGGCTAACAGCGGTCGCTCTGCCGCAGATTTATGTTTCTTTCTTTGTGAGGAAGAACATCTATGCATTTGGTTGCCCTCAGGCACATTTACACTGGTCACCAGATTTCTCTACTTTCAGTTATTGAAAGGAGGTGGAGCTCAAAATCTGACCAAGTCAACATGCCGTTTACCATCAAAGGTTTCCAGTCCTACTTGCTTTTGCTCAAGAAACAACACTTTCCATGTGGTGTGTATTCGGCACGTAGCATTGAAGAAGTCGTGCTGTCCGGCTAATATCTTAGAGTCTTAGGGGAAACTTGGGGGTCATATTCCTGAGCACAGTTCTCCACAACAAAAGGAGAGTGTCTGGTTCGTTCACCAGCCATTACCTGGTGAGCATTTTCACTCTATAGCGCGTTGACCTTCACTTTGTGCGTGGGACTTTCAGTGAAACCAATTCCAGTGAAACGGAAAACGTGCTTGACGGTCAGTGGCTTAATCTGGCAGTCCAGTAGGACATTGAGTGGGCCCTTAAATAAGGCTAGCCGCGCATTCATCACATATTATATAAGCTTGCTGCAAAGAAGAGATTGGGCTATGGCAGGTCAAGGTTACGGTAATTAGCTATTGTTACTGTTCCACTACTTTACAGTAAAGTTTCATCTTGCCAGTTCGCCAGACCTGTTTGTGCCCTCGTCTCCCTAGAAAGCGTCAAGAACAATATCTGGTGCAAAGCTGTGCCAGCGGTTGCGAGTGAAGGGATTAGTCGTGCTATCTGTGCTGAACCGCCGCTGTGATGAACTGGAACTCCCCCCGGGCCGAACATAGTAGACAGAATAGACATTATCGCACTGGAATTGGAACAGGCACCTGATTTGGAACTGGGATCAGCCAGCAACTGCCGCCCAACATATTTTCCACGCAAACACAAGTTTGCGAACAGAGAAATGCAACCTGTGAACATGCAGATGCATAGGCGCAACCTGTGACATCCCATTCTTTAGCCCACCTTCGGTCTTGAACCTAACTGCTACTCGCTCCCACGTTCTTAGGACATTCCGGTGTAAGGTTCACGGAGAAAGCATTTATATGTAATCATAATATAGTCATTTATTTATACCTAAGGACCCAGGAGGACCTAGGGCCACAGGAGGCAGGAATTCCGCTCGAAGCCATTCAGGCAGAAAATCTGCCGGATTCCTTGTTTTTTCTCGCTGGTTGCCATATTTTTGCTTAAGGCTGAATTTAGCAAACCCGTGTTTCTTTTTTATGTTCTTTTTATTTTTTTTTTTCGGCCAGAGTTGTATGTGCTTTTGTTGCCCCAAGTTGGTTTTGCAAAATAGTCGATGATTTAAAGGCACAAATCGTGTTTTCGACCGCAGGCTGTTTTTACAAATCCAACCTTGAACACCAATATTTTCAAGTTCAGGCAGAATTTCCTCGCCCAAACGTCGTCCTAGATATTACACCAGTTTTTTTTTACCGGCTGAGGCCGAACTCTTTTGCTGGCCTGTTGTGATACTGGCGAAGTTGATGAGAAGCTAAAACTGCTACACGGCTCCAAACTTGTGGAACATTGCCACCTTGTTTTCATTTTCCTGGCATTTCACAGCAGTTTGGCAGCGGTACTTGTCTAGTCCACAGTACACAGTAGAGTGGCAGCCCAGCGTGCATGCTGTCTTGAAGATGGCACTTGCTGCTGCAGTTTCAAGGCTGAAGAGCACAGTGGGACGTTGCTTGTCTCAAGGTTTTTGTGGTGAGGTTGCATCGTGAACAGCCGTTTCAAGTCGGGTGGCTCTACTGATTACTATTTGAAGAAAGACAGTGGACAATCACACCCCTTTTTTGTCTATTCTACCGGTTGATTGCTTGCGACAAGTTCAAGGTTCTCTGTTGGGAACTGTTGGGGTTTGTTTCGGTTTCTGCAACAACCTGCCAATGTCACATTCACCCCAACACATTGCTTGACTCAAAAGCTCAACACCCAGGTTCACGCAGGGCTGCTGAGTCCTTTTTCGGATCCAGCAAGTTCTTGCATGAAGCTTCTTTTTGTAGCACGTGATTCCATCTGAGGCCAAGCGAAGGGAACCATCAAGTATATGGACCAAAACAAGATCTTCATGGGGCACCTCTCTTTGGCACTCAGCACAGCCACTCTTGTGGTGATGTTTGGTTTGCCTCTATTCTCCTCGCACCTGCGAACCATTGTCTTCGGACGCTTGGCTTTGCCAAGTACCATGGGCTTCTGTGCGTTGAAGAACAGATATGTGCCATGTGCTACGCCTTTACAATTGCGGACCATCGCTATGCCTGCGTCTTTGAAAATCACGTCCCTTTCCTGACCCGGGCCGCTTTCTCGGACAAATACGAACTGGGACTAAAGCTGCAGGATCACCACGTCAAAAGCTTTGGAGCGGAAGAACTTTCCCTATATAGGTCCTGTAAATAGTCGACATACGCCTTCTTGGGTTGTGAATGCTTGAGTTCTGGTTGCCGTCATGTCTGTCAGGAGACCATCGCTGTGATCCTGCAGCACATGGTTTGTATTTGCTGAAAGAGGAAGATGGCACTGAGCCAACGCTGACGAAGGCATGGAACATGAGGAAATTAGGAAATTAATTGCATAATGTTATATAACAGAACGGTGCAGCAACAAGCAATGCACTTGCCCACGTGCCTACAGACCGCCGCAGTCTGCCCCCTTCCGGGCCCCTTCCGCACCTGCTAGGATACTACCAATCCAACATGGCCAACGCCAAAGCCCAAGAGCTTAAACACCCAACAAGTTAGGACGGGTGCGACACGAAGATAGCCCTCTTGCAAAAAGCCTCTGGTAATTTTTGCACTGGAAGGCGTAGTTTTCAACTCATTGTCTAGTACGGGCATGAAGTACGGGGCACGTCTCAGTGTTCTGCCTATACTCATGGACAGGCTAACTGCTATTGATTGAAATTTTCTTTCAAAGTTCTAGGGGCTAGACTATGCTATTTATGCATATGTACGCTGTTTGAGGTAATTGCTGAGTAAGAAGTATCACAGCAACATTGTTTTCTATATGTGTGCACATGTCCACCCTTCATTCAACCTTGTCCTGCCGTGCAGCCTCCTCGGCTTACATTTTTCCAGATTCAGATAAGTCTCAGTTGTCCTTTGGAGGAACTGTGATATATTTGTACACACGTGAAGCCGCCTGCATCTTGTTTCATTGAGCAACATGTACTGTGAACTATTTGCAGGTAAAGGACTTGTCGTCATTGGAGGCCCTGCAGGGAAGGGAGCCCGTGGGGGTGGCTGCGAGACTGCTTGAATCAGTTGTGATGCGCTTCGGATTGCTGCTCTAGAAGGCACAAGCGGCAACAGCGCTTGTGTTTTTGCGCTGTGCTTCACGAAAGAATAGGTGTACTGAGTACTGACAAAAAGCGACTCATTTTGAGCAGGGGCACCTCATCGCTCCCTGGGCTCAAGTTTGTCATTGCAAAACAGTTTTTAATAACTGTTTCCACCTTTTCGACCATTTCTGCGTATTCCCTCTCTCATGTTCACAGGCACTGACTTTGGACAACTTAGACAGTGGCAGCAGTTCGATGGGGTCTTTTGCCCTAAGAACATTCTGATCAGGTTTCGGACTACATGAACATTGTGGACTGCGGCTTCATCCCATCATCCTACAAAGGGTACTGGCCAAACGTGTTTCTTGGCGACGAACGACGCTGGTTGCCCCCACAACCCGAGTCAGAAGCCAGCGGGTCGTGGACAGACTGCAGCTGCAGCTCCTTAACAGGCACAGCTTCTTCGCAGGCAGCTTTTTGGCCTATAGGAAGGGTGCTACTAGGGGCTCCTGGCATCGCTACTAGGAGCAAGGAACTAGGGCTCCTGGCCGTACTACTAGGAGCACTCTTGCTACTAGTAACAAGAAGCTACTAGGGGCTCCTGGCTTGTGGTGGGAACCATATAGGGCTTAGTTGTTGCGTTCCGTACTGCATAAAGTCTTACGACCGAATGACCAGGTGACGCGGATATTGCCCAAGTTGTCAAAGGATGCAATCCTGCTTATTTTTTGAGCATTGAAAGTAAATGTAGATTTTTCAATGACTTCGGCATTGTTGCATTTGCATTGATGCCACATAAGCGATCGTGTGCCACCCACAAACTGCAAAATGGGGATTTGGTCGGTAGGGCGACCCCGATTGTACAGATTCAGCGATTCAGAGGGATTGGTTTTGAAACTCTGATAGGTACACTGGTACACTAGCACGGTCTTGATAACGAAGCGGAATTGACATAACTCTGATCTCTGGAAAGCCTCAGGAAGCTCGGTCTGTCGCATTCGTCATCCCCTTCTCTTGTCTTGTAACAGCGTGGTTGTCCATTGAAACTAAGTATATAAAAATATGTAAAGATACTGTACAATCACTGTGCTTCCACGACATCAGCTCAGGAACTGTCTGAGTAACATAACTTGATATAGAATATAGACTGTCTTCAAAAGTGAGCGAACATCACACGTACAAGCAGATTCTTCTTTGCACCACCCAAACACACGCACGCAAACGTGTTTGTACACTACATCTCAACCACCTAGAACCTATTTTTTTCACCAAAAAGAAGAGTCACATAGAACATGCAGAGGACGCAGCGCATAGAACAAACAATCAGCATTCTGAGCCATGCTCGTAGAACAATCGAAATCCCTGCACTTAGAACTCATCCCCAACACTTGGAACACATACACGCTCATATGTGTATATCATAGGCACAATATTGTGCTTTCAGACTGCATCCAGCTTTTTTTCCCCAAACCATGCATGCTGCATTCGTGCCATTTTGGCCTGGGAACGTGCTTCCAGGATGCTGCTTCCCAAAACCAGCAAAACTAATATATATATATATAGGTCTGGTTGTACAGGCTCCCGCAAACGAAGTCGGTCCTGCATATTTTCCTCCAAGTCGATCGATCGGGTCGTGACCAACGTGACTCAAGGGACCAAAATGGCCGCAAGCGAAAACACAAACTACCGCAATGTACGACATGTACCTGCAAGTGAAAACTGGCATTGAGACGGGCAAAAGCTCTTTTTGTTTTGAGCTTACCACAAAGGAAAATACGAAAGCCAGCCGATAGGCTAGGCTTGAGCTCTTAGACCGATCGAAGTGAGTTGAGGGGGTGTGGGGGGGGAGTAGGCCGCGAAAAAGCACCATTTGAGAGGGTGAACCCGGAGCTTGCTGGGGGAGAGCGCTCCAAAGCGAGGGTCACAAAAGCAGTGAAAATGGGGTCTGGTGATGCGAGTTGATGCAATGGACGCCGAGTAGTGCATCATCAGCATCACGAAGGGCTGTGGAGGCTATTTGGACAATGGGCATTGAGCACTGGAGTGACAGGCACCCATGTACAGAGCAACCATCCTGGTCTCTACTTTACTTGTACCGTTTCCTCGGTCGAGCAGATGCTTCTCACAGCGTCCACGTGCACCGAACGTTGTTCCGGCTTGGCCGCGCAGCTAGATGGATACAGAATAGATAGATCGATAGATAGATAGTGATAGTGATAGTGATAGTGATAGTGATAGTGATAGTGATAG